TTTAAAATGTTACCAATATAAAATGTTACTAATGTAAAATGTTGCTACTGTAAAATGTTGCTAAAGTAAATTCTTACTAATGTAAAATGTTGCTAAAGTAAATTCTTACTAATGTAAAATGTTGTTAATGTAAATTATTACTATGATAATGAAAAAGTTAATATAAAATGTTACCAATGTAAAATGTTACTATTATAAAATGTTACTAATGTAAAATGTTGCTAATGTAAAGTGTTACTAACGTAAAATGTTAATAATGTAAACTGTTACTAATGTAAAATGTTGTTAATGTAAAATGTTGCTAATGTAAATTATTACTAATGTAAAATGTTGCTAATGTAAATTATTACTATTGTAAAATGTTGCTAATGTAAATTATTACTTATGTAAAATGTTACTAATGAAAAAGTTAATATAAAATGTTACCAATGTAAAATGTTACTATGAAATGTTACTAAATTAAAATGTTACCAATATAAAATGTTGCTAATGTAAAATGTTGCTATTTTGAAAATTATTACTAATGTAAAATGTTACTAATGTAAATTATTACTAATGTAAAATGTTGCTAATGTAAATTATTACTAATATATAATGTTATTAATATAAAATGTTACTAATATAAAATGTTACTAATGTAAAATGTTACTAAAATTAATGTTACTAATGTAAAATATTACTAATGTAAAATGTTACTAATGAAATATGTTACTATTGAAAAAGTTAATATAAAATGTTACCAATGTAAAATGTTACTATAAATTGTTACTAAATTAAAATGTTACCAATATAAAATGTTAATAATGTAAAATGTTGTTAATGTAAAATAATGCTAATGTAAATTATTTCTAATGTTAAATGGTACTAATGAAAAAGTTAATATAAAAAGTTACCTATGTAAAATGTTACTAAAGTAAAATGTTGCTAATGTAAAATGTTGCTAATGTAAAATGTTACTAACATAAAATGTTACTAACGTAAAATGTTAATAATGTAAAATGTTACTAATGTAAAATGTTGTCAATGTAAAATGTTGCGAATGTAAATTATTACTCATGTAAAATGTTGCTAATGTAAATTTTTACTAATGTAAAATGCTGCTAATGTAAATTATTACTAATGTAAAATGTTACTAATGAAAAAGTTAATCTAAAATGTTACCAATGTAAAATGTTACTATAAAATATTACTAATTTAAAATGTTACCAATATAAAATGTTACTAATGTAAAATGTTGCTAATGTAAAATGTTGCTAATGTAAATTATTTCTAATGTAAATTGTTACTAATGAAAAAGTCAATATAAAATGTTACCAATGTAAAATGTTACCAATGTAAAATGTTACTAACGTAAATTTTGCTTAAGTAAAATGTTACTAACGTAAAATGTTACTAACGTAAAATGTTAATAATTCAAAATTTTACTAATGTAAAATGTTAATGGAAAATGTTGCTAATGTAAATTATTACTAATGTAAAATGTTGCTAATG